CCCCAATATCTACCGACAATGGCTATGTGCTAGGTGCGGCTTCATCTACTACTATGACTCCCATTCTACAGAGGCAGAAATAGAGGTTGAGACAGTTAACTTGTCCAGGCCCAGCATCCAGCTTCAGCCTCTGACTCCCAGAGTCCACCCTGACGGCTCCAGCATCCTGCTCTTTTCACCAGCCCCTAGTTTGGGCTCAACTCCAGCTCTAGGGACGGGAAGAAGCCAGCACCTCTTCCTTGACAGCCCTGCCTGCTACTTGGAGGTGGGAGGAGGGGCTGTCTCAGCTCCTCATGCACTTCTGACCCTCCTGCCCACTGTCCCTCCTCTCCTCTCAGGGGTCTGGGGGTGTCACCGAACCCCAGCTGAACCTCCTCGTTTCCCTAAGGTCCACCCTGGCGTCTGGTCTCCAGGCTACGGCCTGGGCTCTTAGGCCTGATCATGAAATGGCTCCACATCGAGCAACCGAAAAAACCAGCCATTCTGGACGTGAGCCCTGAAGCGTAACATTACGGAGCCAGCAGCCAGCAGCGCTTCCCATCCCATTATCACCGGGCCAGGCTGCTCCAGGCCAGCCTAGCTGCAAATGGCTTTCTTGGGGGGGGGGGGGAGAAGGAAGGGGGGGGCAGCCCCTACTTGCCCTGCACTGCTGGAGGAGAGATTTTATCTTTAATTGACAACTGGCTGCCTGCCACGCCTGGCCTGGCCTGGCCTCACCTCTGGGGCCCAGGCGCCCAGCCCCATCTTCTCTGCTCAGCTTTTCGGAACAGGTTTCCTTGCTTCTTCCCTCCCCTCAGTCCTGCCACCGCACCCCCTCCTGCTCCCTTGGGGGCTCTTGTCCTTTCTTAGTGTGACAGAGCTCAGAAACCTGTGGAGAGAAGCCTGAGAGCTAAGTGGGGGTGGGGGCGGGGGGTGATGTGGGGGACTAACACTGAGCATCCACTCTGTCACATGCAGAAATAAGACACCGGCTGAGGTCTGTACACTCTCTCTAAAATAGCGGTGATCGTTATCCCCATTCTATAAGGAGCTGATCAGTGCATCACCCCAAGGTACCCAGCTAGTACATAGCAAGTGAAGACGGACCTGAGGCCCTTGAGTTTACACCTGGCTTTGTAAAAGCCACAACTCAGGAGAAAGAAAACAGCAAGAGGAGCAAACCTGTGGAGCCCATGGGACCCCCTTTTCAGTGACAGCTAGTAATTTCAAGGTGGCAATGGTGAGCAGGCAGCCAAGCATGGGCCCTTCTGAGAGCACAGGGGGCCACAGCATGCACCCCCATGTGAGTGAGGGGTGACCAGCGAGCCTGCCTTACCACACCCCACCACCACCCCTCCTCCGGGCCAGGACACCCCCACTCTGTCTCGGGCAGCCCGAGTCGAGCCACAGTCCGTGGAGGCCTCAGTCCATCAGCTACCCAGTCATCGCCACGCCTCCGGCATCCCCGGGGCCTTGGCCCACATAGAACAGAGCCATTTCGGGGAGGCCCCCCCTCCCCACACAAGCACACAGGGGCACCAGGCATTCCTTAGACAAGCAGGTCTTCTGGTGCCCGCCGTGAGAGGTGCAAGAGCCCAGCTCTGCCCAGGAGCCAGAGGCCCTACGCATCCTCCTCCCAGCTGAGGCGGCACTTCCGCTCTGAGCACGAGTGGTCAGCGCTAAGTCAGGGGCTCGGCTGTCTCGGGCGAATCCAGGGTGGACAGTGACAGGGGTATGAGGTGGAAGCCCGGGGAGGTCCCCGCAGACACAGAACCAAGAAAGGAGAGGCAGAGGCAGTCACATCACGCAGGTGCGCCAGATGTCTTTATTGGGGCCGGAGCACAGAATGACAGTCGAAGGCGGCACGCCTCAGACACACACGGGGGACAGCTTTAGAGAAGACTGACTGACACCAGGAAGGGGGGGAGGCTGCGTGGGGAGGGACGAAGGCCAAGGGAGGGGCAGAGGCCAAGGTCGAAGGGGTCACCTGACCTCTGCTATTGCACACATCCTCTGGCCACCGGCCAGGAAGTACAGTATTGCAACTGGTCTCCGCTCGCCCGAGGCTTCCCCTTCTCAGACCCCTGAGCCAGATGGGCAGACAGACCCCTTCCCTGCCCGTCTGCCCAGCAGCATCTTTGAAAACAACTGGACGAAGGGACAAAGGAGACAGAGCGAAAAAACAAAAATAAAAGACAAAACGCCCTCTCTGGTAAGGACCCAGCTAAGGTGGCGGCAAGGCTGGGAGCAGCTTCAGAGGAGCCCCTGACAGTCCCCCACAACTGGGGCATGGGTGGGAGGTAGAACCCCAACCTGGGGTGGGGTGGGGCTAACGGAGCAGTGACCCTCGGGGCAGTCTGGCCTCCCGCAGGCCTCCTGCCCACCGGGGAAATACCCCTAAGAGAGAGAATCGAGTCTGGGGCCACCCAGCTGGCCTTGCAGGCCCGGGTGCACTCTTCCTGGGACACTCCACTTGCGTTCAGCAGAAACAAGGGACCAGAGGCGGGGAGGGAATGAGAGCTGGGGTGGGCCAGGGCTGGGGAGACACAGCCTAACAAAGAAAATAGAAAACTAGCACGTGCACTATACACAACAGTACAGAATGTATGAATATAGATACTATATGTGCATATATATCTTTCCAATGTACAACAGAACAGAACAGCAGGCCCGGATGGCTCCGGGCCCCGAGGGTCACATGGGAGGTTTTCCGTCAGTCCTGTGCAAACAAGGATATCTGAGTCCTTCCCAGCGGAAGATTCTTGCCTGGATTCCAGAGTTTCCCTAAGCCTCTGGCTTTCTGTCTGTCTGCCTGTCTCTCTCACGCTGGTGCCGCTTTAAGAGAGGGTGAGGACTTCGGCCTGGGCATAGTTGGACGAGAGGGCGTCTTGGCAGGTCTCTGTTTAAAGAGCACAGGTGTGAGACACTGGGACGCACGCTTTCGGCTCAACACTGCCTTCTGGGGTTGGGGGAAGAGCGGGGACGAAGGGTTCAGCAACAGCAAGGGAGAAACAAAGAATGAGCATTAGAAGGAAGCCACCGACCCACAGGCTGTGGGCTAAGGAGCAGGCCAGGAGCGGAGCTGAAGACTTGGGGGCCCTGGGCTGAGGCCAGGAGAGCAGGGATTGGTTGAACCCCTTCATCATCCCTCTGCTGACCCAGCAGCAGACCAAGGTGTCTCCTAGGTGATGGGAGAACTCATCTCCAGACCTGCTCAGGTAATGAGCGTCAGGTACCACAAGCCCCCAGCTGTCAAAGCTCCAGCGTGCAGGGCAGCGTGGCCACAGCCCTGCAGGCTGGCATGGAGGCAGTGCCAAGGTGGGGTATGGCCTGTAGCCCCAGGCTGTCCCTCAGACCGCTCTGCTCATTGTGGACCCCCACACAGCACCCCCAGCGGCATACCACCCAAATCTGGCAGGAGCTAAGCCTCGGCAGCCAGCAGGGGAAGGCAGACAGGGGCAGTCGGGGAGGATGAACGTGGCCATGTCAGGAAAGAAGCCAGAAAATAGCATCTTACTGAGAAACCCAACCCAGAGAGCCCATCTTGACAACCGTTCTTAGCCTGAGTTATCCGTGGCCCACCCCTTCTTCGACCTTCCTGAAGAGGGGGGAGCGAGGCAGCTAACACAAGATTTTGGGGCGTGACACTGGCCAGACAGAGGGGGTGCTCGCTCCTAGGGAGCTGTGAAAGAGCAATCAGCCCCAGGGTGCTTCCGGGAGCCCCAGTGCCTGGGCAGGGATGCAGCCTCCCATCTGACTTCCACGCGGCCCGGCCTCTGGGCTCTGAGCTGAACAGGCATTTCCTCTTTGGCTCCAACTCAGCCACAACCTCTCCGGAGTCTGCGGAGCGGAGGAGAGGTCTCTCTGGTGGTCTGTAGCCCTGGACCACTAGAGTGCGTGAACCACTTCTACCTGAGCCGCTCCCCTGTTCTGAAGGCCCCTGCTGTGTGAGAAAGGCTTCTAGAAGTCAAAGCTATGCCTACGGGCCTACGTCCAGATTCAAGGTAAAGCAGACTGTGCTTCAGATGGTGGGTGGGAAGAGGAACCTTCCAGGAGCAAGGAGGCCTACGGCCTGGGTGAGCCTGAGGCCTGTGCAGACAGGGCCTGCTGCACAGCCGGCAGCCATAAGCTCCAAGACTCACTTAGTCCTTTCCTGGGGCCCTCAGGATCCAGACTCCTCAGCTGTCCCACTGGCTAGGTCCTGTGTCTCCCGTGACAGAAGCCAGTGGGTGAGGAGGGACGTGTGGGAGCCACCTCCCAAGGCACTGGGGGCTCCTCCTGGCACTCCTGCAACGTGTCGCCAGGGACATCTGTGCCCACCATAGGGGTGCCGTGAGCATGCCCATCCCTGTAGGAGGGAAGAGAGGGAAGAGGCGGTGGGTGCCGTGGAAACTTGGGCTCCTGACAACTTGAGGGCTGCCACAGAAATAGCCGCCTCGGCTCCCCAAACCAGGGAGGCAAGTCAGGAGAGAACAGCAGTGGTTCCTGTGCTACTCAGGACACCGAGCTCAGCGCGTCCCGGTCACCGCCAGGACCTGGGGTCAGGACGCTCCGCAGGGACAGGAGTGAATATGCTCCATGAGGAAGCGGCTGGGTTCTCAGACCTAGCTACGAGGGGAGCGGGGCCCCCCGTGTCCCCAGGCTGCCCTGTCCCTGTCTCCATAGGGGCCCGTCTCTTTCTGCCGGGCAGTCACAAGACTCCCTCTGCATCTTCTCAATCCTTAGTGGGGCACCACAGAGCAGGGCTAGGGTATCCCAGGGCCTACCTGGAATAGACTTTTCTGGAAGGGCCATTCCCATATCTGCCCAAAGCTGAAGGAGACGCTGGAGTGGAGATGCTCCCGGAGCAGCTTTTCAGAAAGCCCAACCCCATCGTGAGTGATGGTTTCTTTCCGCCCCATTCATCTTTCGAGGTGACCCCCAGATCTCCCGGCCTCCTCCAACCCAAAGGCTGTCTTGCCGTACCCATCTTTGCCCACCCTGGGAGGAGCAGAGATGGACCTTCCAGAATCATTCCCTCACACAGTTGCATAAGCCGACTCTAAAAATTGCCAGACGCACGACTCCGCTGTCAGGTCTAATTCCCATCAGGTGACACAGGAGATGTCTGCGCGAGGTATTCCTGGGGCTAGGGGGCCTGGCGAGCCGGTCACCTGCGTCTCGGCCCTCCTGGGGTCGGGAGCAGGTGGGGGGCAGAAGGCTTTTGTCCCCACTTCCCCTCAGCTGCTCCTGCCGAGGGTGCACCCCTGCTCACTCAGTGACTCACAGACCTGTTGTACCCCCAGGCTCGTTAGGTAAATGAATACACTTAATTATAGAAATTAGATGAGTCTCCGGTTCTGGCAGGAATACAGAGCGCAGAGGCTGGCGGAGAGAGGCAGGTGACTCAGAAGCAGAGCTGGGAGTTTGGGGGAGCGGGAGAGTGAAGAAAAACTGTCGTGGAAGCAGCGTGCTGAGATGCCACCGCTCTGGGCGCAGATGGGAGGCTGGGCACGCTGGGTGTCACCCGCCAAACCCGGGTCCCCGGCCGAGGCTGCCTGGGGCTCCCACTCCAGACACCCCCACCTGCGCCTGCAGACCAAAACGGGTCTATCCTCTCAGAGCAGCACTGCTCCTGAGGATCAAGCACCCCCACCATCACAGAGGTGCCCCCAGAGGGAGCCTTCCTCCTTGCTGGTCTGCGTGTGGGACGGACAGACAGACAGACAGAGACGTGCAACTGCAGACTGTTTGGTTCCTAGCTGAAGGCCACGAGGAATGCATCTGCTGTGATTAGGGTGGGCCCTGAGAGGGAGGAGGGGCCCCGAGACCAGGGCCTGGGTGCTGGCACTTCCAGCTCAAGATGGAGGCCGATGGGGCAGAAGTCCTGAGGAGTCCCCCTGCTTGCTGTGAGGCTCCAGAGCTGAACATTTTGGGGAGCTGGCTGCTGTGGTCAAGAGGCTCAGAGGCCTGAATTCCCCTGCATCCCGCCCGGCACCCCTGGGCCCCAGGAGGAGCTGGGGGTATGTGAGTGTGCCTGTGCGTGCCTGGAGCTGGGGAGCCCAAGCTGTGGCTATGGACCTGAGTGTCCAGGCGGCGGGCTGGTGAGGGGGTGGAAGGGGTGGGAGAGCAGGAGCTTTCTCTGAGGGTAGGGCGAGCTGTCTCGCGATGCCAGTGGAGACAGCCCCAGACTGGTTCCAGCAGCAACCGCTATGTTGTTTACACTCCGGGACTGTTCACAGCCTTGGTGAAGAAAAGGCACAGGGGTCAGAGGGCTGCAGCTCCCGGCCCGAGTGGCTCTGTGGGATGGAGCCACATTCCGGGGGCTCTGCTGGGCAGACAGGCCGGCTGGCCACCTGGGAAGGCTCCCCAACTTTCCCTGGCCTTAGGGTCACCTGGGCTCTTGAGGCCCCAGCTGACCTTTGTGGTCTTGAGGACCACACCCAGCTGACCTTTGCCCTTTCACTGTCCCCAGGTAAAGTCCCTCTAGCTGCACGGAGACCCCACAGCCTCCAACACACTCCTTCCTTGAGCCTAAGGAAGCCTGTCAGCACCCACCACCGTCCTCCCAGGGGGCACACACGCTGGCACTGGGCAGCGACAGGTGAGGGTGCACCTGTGCCGGTGGCTGGAGGCGGCGGGGCCCACGGGCTCCTGGGCCCGGGTGCAGCCCAAGCGGGCACAGAGAAGTACGCGGTGGGGTCTGGCGTAGGGAAAGTTGCCGACTGCGCACTGGGAGTTTGGCGATGCTAATTGCCACACTTGCTGAGCAGGCCCTGTTTCCCGGCAACCCACCTGTTCCCTCTCGAAGGTCACTCTAATTGGCTGAGCTACATGCTTGTTGCCAAGAAGCAGTGTGGAGGCATCTTGGAAATAGAGCAGCTGGGTCCCACGAGCACCCAGAGATAGGGTGGTGGGGCACAGGTGCCCCCATCCGCTGCACGCACACGTGCGGCCCATTCACCAGGTGCTCCTGGCTCCTCAGGACCTCGTGGTCTCCACTCTGACTCACATCCTCACAGCCTCTTCCACTCAGCCCCTCGCAGTACTGGGATAAAACCGGGGGTGCTTAGCATTCAGCTCTATTGACTCAAGTTCGACTTGGGGGCTGGGCCCCCCCATCCCACACTCTAGACCAGCTAGGCCTGCTCCAGTCATAGCAAGACTCCGGGTCTGACCAGCACATGGAGAGGCTGAGGATGGGGGCGCACAGTGGCCAGGGGGTTGGGGGGTCCAGAAGAGGATCTAAGTGGTCCGAGCGCATTGCACCTGCAGCATTCAGCTGGGACCTCTGGTCATCTCCTTCCAGATGCCAGGCCCCTGCCACCCAAGAGGACATGTGCCCAAGAGGCTGGACAGACCTCTCATGGACTTGGTTAAGGTGGGGATGGCCTGAGGTTCCTGTGTGATCAGTGAGAGCACCAGGAAAGGGCCTGGGCAGGTGCCCGTGAGGCTGATGGGTGAGCAGGCCAGAGGACATCTTGGAGGACAGGCCATCACAGGCTCTTCTCACAGCAGCTGTCTCCAGCTCAACCCATCCTGGTGTGAAGCTTGGGGACAGTGGGAAGAGTGTTGTGGGGGGTAGGGGTGGGCCGGAGATTTGGCTGGAAAGAGGGCTGGTTAAGAAGCAGCCCGAGAGGCCAAGGGAAAGCTGTTTTGGGGCCGTGAGTATTATCCCAAAGCTGTGCAGGCATCAAGGGAGGTCAAGGCACAGGCCAGGGTCCTCAATGCCTTGATCATTTCTGGCCCCGCCTGTGGGCTCCACCACCCAACCTCTGCTTGGGGCCAGCAGTGGGGTCTCAGTCTTCCCTGTCAGATGGGCATGGGCTGCAGCTGGAACCTTCCGAATCTTTCAGGACACCCCTCAGAGGGGACCCACTCTCCCTGCCACTCCCACGGCCTGGTCACCTTCTGGTTCTGCCTCAGAGGACCTGCATCCAGGTGCCAGGAGAGCCGGGCAGCCCCTCCTGGACTCCAGGACCCGGGGAGGAGGGAGCACAGGGCCTGCCCTCCGCTCTGAAGACCCTGAATGAGCACCTATGCTCACCCTGACTGTCCTCGGGGAAGCCTCGAGGTTTGCAAAGGAGGCCTAGAAGGCAGCAGTGATCCGTGGCAGGTACAAAGGTGGCAGACCCTGGTGCCCCTCAGCCTTCTCCCTGCAGGTGCCAGGGGTAGAGTGCAGGCCCTGTGTACTTCTGGGGATGCGGAAGCCTTTCTAACTCGCGGACTGGGAGATCAGAGCACCCTTCCTAAAAGTGGGGGCGCGTCCAAGGCAGAGGAGATGGTGGCCACGGCCTCAGGGGAGGAGGAGACCTCACATTTTGGGGGACACACTGGGGAGGCTGTGCTCCATGGGGACTCCCCACGTGCCCGGCCTGGGGAGCCATACCTTTGCGGACGCTACCATCGGCACAGGCATAGTCCCCCGCGCTGAGCAGGAAGCAGGCAGCAGCTTTCTTGTTCCTGTCTCGGGTGCCGGAGCGTCGCAGGGCCCGGCGTTCCTCGGGAGTGGGGGCAGAGGCCAGGGGCTGGGTGAGGCCAGCTCCCTCCTCGTCTGACAGCACCGCATTGGCATCGCCGTTCTGCTTGGAGTCTAAAGGGGGTGACAGAGCAGGCTGTATGAGGGGCTGCCTGGGCCTCACTCCTCAGGCCTCATGGGGTCCTCACCCAAGCC